AGAGAGAGAGAGAGAGAGAGAGAGAGAGAGAGAGAGAGAGAGAGAGAGAGAGAGAGAGAGAGAGAGAGAGAGAGAGAGAGAGAGAGAGAGAGAGAGAGAGAGAGAGAGAGAGAGAGAGAGAGAGAGAGAGAGAGAGAGAGAGAGAGAGAGAGAGAGAGAGAGAGAGAGAGAGAGAGAGAGAGAGAGAGAGAGAGAGAGAGAGAGAGAGAGAGAGAGAGAGAGAGAGAGAGAGAGAGAGAGAGAGAGAGAGAGAGAGAGAGAGAGAGAGAGAGAGAGAGAGAGAGAGAGAGAGAGAGAGAGAGAGAGAGAGAGAGAGAGAGAGAGAGAGAGAGAGAGAGAGAGAGAGAGAGAGAGAGAGAGAGAGAGAGAGAGAGAGAGAGAGAGAGAGAGAGAGAGAGAGAGAGAGAGAGAGAGAGAGAGAGAGAGAGAGAGAGAGAGAGAGAGAGAGAGAGAGAGAGAGAGAGAGAGAGAGAGAGAGAGAGAGAGAGAGAGAGAGAGAGAGAGAGAGAGAGAGAGAGAGAGAGAGAGAGAGAGAGAGAGAGAGAGAGAGAGAGAGAGAGAGAGAGAGAGAGAGAGAGAGAGAGAGAGAGAGAGAGAGAGAGAGAGAGAGAGAGAGAGAGAGAGAGAGAGAGAGAGAGAGAGAGAGAGAGAGAGAGAGAGAGAGAGAGAGAGAGAGAGAGAGAGAGAGAGAGAGAGAGAGAGAGAGAGAGAGAGAGAGAGAGAGAGAGAGAGAGAGAGAGAGAGAGAGAGAGAGAGAGAGAGAGAGAGAGAGAGAGAGAGAGAGAGAGAGAGAGAGAGAGAGAGAGAGAGAGAGAGAGAGAGAGAGAGAGAGAGAGAGAGAGAGAGAGAGAGAGAGAGAGAGAGAGAGAGAGAGAGAGAGAGAGAGAGAGAGAGAGAGAGAGAGAGAGAGAGAGAGAGAGAGAGAGAGAGAGAGAGAGAGAGAGAGAGAAAGAGAGAAATTCATAGCTTCTAATACGCATGATGTTATGTACGTAAATCATAATGCGGGATATTAACTGTTAAAATGCGTCCATGCATTTGCTAATGTCAATATCGAACCGACACGTGCCATATAACGTGTTACTTGGTTGTTACGAGAGAGAGAGAGAGAGAGAGGAGGGGGAGAGAGAGAGAGAGAGAGAGAGAAATGTGGGCATCTCATGCGAAATTATGCTAAATATACAACACAATGCATTTGCGTAATAGTTTGTCTTAAAATAATAGAGATACTTTTTTTTTTAAATAGATAATTAAAAGTATTATGTCAATATCATTGAAGTATTTTTTTCTTTGCGAGGGGAAGAAAAATGTGTTATGCATCACCCCGCCGACTGTCCGGTGGGGCTGTGTCGGATTCGCACCCACTAAAAAATCCCCCCTTTAAATTCCTAGATGCAGGATGTGCAAGAGTATTATCTACGCGATTATCTGAAAAATAATGCGAAATGAAAATAAATGATGCAGTTCTTAATTACGCATAAAATTATTGTAAAATGCGCTTCTGTCTTTCGCGCAAACAAACAAATGGATATATGGAAACGTGGATAGCATTGCGAGTATTAACGAAAGCTACTCGTCGTGTGGTGAGCATTGAAACGAGCGAAATTTTATAATAAAGCTAGGAAAGGACAATAATTAATACACAGTACGATTATATCTTCTTGCAATCTTATATCATAAAATCGCGCAAGCGGACATAACTTTTTGTATCACGAATCTTTCTGTACCATCAATGATTTTCATCTCTTCTCTGAAACGTCAAGTACAATATATTTATCCGTATGTACGGTCGCACGTATATGTATATTGGCTGATCCTTGTTCTCTCATTACAAATGCGTACATGTGTACGAGGGTAACGCGAGAGTACGCACATATACGCGTATATATATGCGTATATATACATATGTGAACGGCAGGTAATAATGCTCGCACGTGTATGTACAAGAGTATCGGAGTATCGGAGAGGTGCTAACATCGTCGAGAGGTGCCGCAATTACGCGATCGCGCGTATTACGCACGTAAATCCGGCTTTTGTCCGTGCGTTGTGTTCCATTTCTCTGTTCGATGCACGATTAGCCTAGAGTCGGCTAATCACGTGACTTTCGCATTTGCCACACATCGTGATCCTTAATTTTGCATCGATAACGGTTTACCCGATAATACGTTTCTGGGCGCGGTCGATTTGTCACTATCGGAAATACGGTCGCTTTAAATTGAAACTGTCACAGGACTGTTCGAGAAGTTCGCGCGACGTATACTTCGTTATTACCGAGCGCGAACTTTATCGAGGTAACGCCCATCTTTTTGCTCGAGTTTTTTTTCTCACGATAACTCTTTCTTTCTTTCTCTCTCCTTGTCTTCCAAAAACTACTACGCGAGATTTAGAACGAGTTTTCACTTCTGTATTCCTCGGACGCGTTAGGTCCATCGTTTTAATACCATTTGCCGCACCTGCAACAGCACGATATTTTAATGATTAAATATCCGCCTCTAAT